GGCAATCTACAGATTCAATGCAATCCCCATCAAAATACCAACACAATTCTTCACAGACCTGGAAAGAAAAATACTCAACTTTATATGGAAAAACAAAAAACCCAGGATAGCCAAAAGAATCCTGTACAATAAAACAACCTCTGGAGGCATCACGATCCCAGACCTCAAGCTCTACTATAGAGCTACAGTAATAAAAACAGCTTGGTACTGGCATAAAAACCGACATGTGGACCAATGGAATCGAATTGAAGACCCTGACATTAATCTGCACACCTATGAACATATAATTTTTGACAAAGAAGCCAAAACTGCACAATGGAAAAAAGAAAGCATCTTCAACAAATGGTGCTGACACAACTGGATATCAACGTGTAAAAGGCTGCAAATAGATCCATATCTATCACCGTGCACAAAACTTAAGTCCAAGTGGATCAAGGACCTCAACATAAATCCACCTACTCTGAAACTGATAGAAGAGAAAGTAGGAAGTAGTCTTGAAAACATTGGCATAGGAGATCACTTCCTAAATATAACACCAATAGCACAGACACTGAGAGAAACAATCAATCAATGGGACCTCTTGAAACTGAGAAGCTTTTGTAGAGCAAAGGATACGGTCAACAAGGCAAAGCGACAGCCTACAGAATGGGAAAAGGTCTTCACCAACCCCACATCTGACAGAGGACTGATATCCAGAATATATAAAGAACTCAAGAAATTAGACATCAAAATGCCCAACAGTCCAATTAAGAAGAAATGGGCTATAGAACTAAACAGAGAATTCTCAACAGAGGAAACTCAAATGGCTGAAAGACATTTAAGGAATTGTTCAACATCCCTAATCATCAGGGAAATGCAAATCAAAATGACTCTGAGATACCAACTTACGCCTGTCAGAATGGCTAAGATCAAAAGCACTGAAGACAGCTTAAGCTGGAGAGGATGTGGAGCTAGGGGAACTCTCCTCCACTGCTGGTGGGAATGCAAGCTTGTACAACCACTTTGGAAATCAATATGGCGCTTTCTTAGAAAATTGGGAATCCGTCTCCCCCAAGATCCAGCTATACCAGTCTTGGGCATATACCCACAGAATGCTCAATCATACCACAAGGGCACTTGCTCAGCTATGTTCATATCAGTCAGCATTGTATGTAATAGCCAGTACCTGGAAACAACCTTGATGCCCTTCAACTGAAGAATGGATAAATAAAATGTGGTACATATACACAATGGAATACTACTCAGCAGAGAAAAACAATGACATCATAAGGTTTGCAGGCAAATGAATGGATCTAGAAAAAAATCATCCTGAGTGAGGTAACCCAGACTCAGAAAGACAAACATGGTATGTACTCACTCATAGGAGGATACTAGATGTAAAACAAAGATGACTAGACTGCTACTCAAAACTCCAGGGAGGCTACCTGGAAAACAGGACCCTAAGAAAGACACAGGGATCGCCCAATGACAGAGAAATGGAATGAGATCTACATGAACAACATGGACGTGATTGAGGTAATAAAGGGCAAGGGTCGAGGGAAAGAGAGCTTGGGGGAACGGGAGATCCCAGCTGGATCAAGAACAGAGAGGGAGAACAAGGAATAAGAGACCATGATAAATGAAGACCACATGAGAATAGGAAGAAACAAAGTGGTAGAGAGGTCCACAGAAATCCACAAAGATACCCCCACAACAGACTGCTGGCAATGGTCGAGAGACAGTCCAAACTGACCTACTCTGGTTATAGGATGGCCAAACACCCTAATTGTCATGCTAGAAACCCCATCCAATGACTGAGGGAAGCAGATGCAGAGATCCACGGCCAGGCCCCAGGTGGAGCTCCAGGACTCCATCCAGTTGGCGAGAAAGAGGGGGGTTTGTATGAGTGAGAATTGTTGAGACCAAGGTTGGAAAAAGCACAGGGACAAATAACCAAACAAATGGAAACACATGAACTATGAACCAATAGCTGAGGAGCCCCCAACTGGATCAGGTCCTCTGGATAAGTGAGACAGTTGATTAGCTTGATCTGTTTGGGAGGCACCCAGGCAGTGAGACCAGGACCTGTCCTCAGTGCATGTGCTGGCTGTTTGGAACCTGGGACTTATACAGGGACACTTGGCTCAGCCTGGGAGGAGGGGACTGGACCTGCCTGGACTGAATCTACCAAGTTGAACTCAATCCTCAGGGCAGTCTTTGCCATGGAGGAGATGGGAATGGAAGGTAGGCTGGGAGGAAGGTGGGGGGAGAGGGGGCAGAACAAGGGAATCCGTGGCTGATATGTAAAATTAAATTAAATTATAAAATAAAATTTAAAAAAATGAAATAAAAAATTATCTTGAATCTTAAAAACAAAAGAAGGCGGTTTTAAGTCTCAGCCCTTAGCTACTGCTCTGACCTCTTGGGCTTTTAACTCTGCATTTGGCTCTGTCTTTCTTATTTAGTAAGACTGTTACATCTACAGGAGGGAAAAATGTTGTAATTATCTCAAAAATTAAAAAATTAAATTATTTTAAATAAGGCTGAGCAAGCCATGAGGAGCAAGCCAGCAAGCAGCACTCTTCCATGGCCTCTGCATCAGCTTCTGCCTCCAGTTGCTCACCTGGTTTGAGTTCCTTCCTTGGCTTTCCTTGATGGACTGCAATTTAAGATATGTTAGCCAAATAAACCTTTCCTTGCCCCCCAAATAAACTGTTCTGAAAAAGGCAAGATAAAAAGAAATTAAAAGTATACAAATAGTAAAAGAAGTCATACTATTGTCATCCTCATATGATATATTATACATTAGATATGTCAAAATTCCACCAGAAAACTTCTAGAAATGATGAACAAACTCAGCAAGATGGCAGAATACAGAATCAGCTTGCACAAATCAATTCCTTTTCTATATATCACCAATAAAAATACAGAGAAGATCATGGACACTATCATCCCATTCACAACAGCCCTAAAGAAAATAAACTATCTAGGAATAAACCTGGAGGTGAAGTATCTTTACAATGAAAAATTTACATTTCTGAAGAAAGAGATGGAAAAAGACACTAGAAAATGGAAAAACACCCTATACTCATAGATTAATATTGTAAAAATATAGCCATTCTAACAAAAGCCATTTACAGATTCAATGCATAATTCCCAATCAAAATCCCAATCTCATTTGTCACAGAAATAGAAAAAGTTATCCTGAAATTACTATGGAACCACAAAAGACCCCAGACAGTCAAAACAATCCTTAGCAAAAAGAACAACACTGGAGAGATTGCCATTCCAGATCTCAAAATATACTACAGGACCATAGTCATAAAAGAACTTATGGCACTGGCAAAAACCAAACATGTAGATCAATGGGACAAAATTGAAGTCACAAACATGAGTACAGAAAACTTCAGCAACTTAATATTTGACAAAGGTGGCAAAAACATATGTTGGAAAAAAGGAAAACATCTTCAACAAATGATACTGGAAAAATTCGAATTCCACATGCAGAAGAATGAAATTAGACCCGTGTCTATCACCTTGTACAAAAAGTAACTGTAAACGGATCCAAGACCTAAACCTAAAACCTCAAACACTGAAACTGCTAGAAGAAAACATGTGCAGTACCTAAACCATATAGGTGTAGGAAAGGACTTCCTGAATAGGACTCCATTTGTCTAAAAATTAAGGCCAACAATTGACAAGCGGGACGTAATAAAACTTAAAAGCTTCTGTACAGCTAAAGAAACAACCATCTGGGTGAAGAAGAGGCCCACAGAATTGATTGAAAAGAATCTTTGCCATCTATATATCTGACAGAGGATTAATATCCAGAATATATTAAGAACTCGAAAAAACAAAGGGTCAAAACCACAAATGGCCCATTCATACAAAATGATCCTGGGATCTGAACAGAGAGTTCTTAAAAGAAGGGGGAAATGACCAAAATAATATTTCTAAAGATGGTCATCACCCCAACAACTAGGGAAATACAAATCAAAACGACTTTCAAGTTCACCTTACCCCAGTCAGAACAGTAAAGAACAGCAAAACAACGAACAACAAATACTGGGGTGGGTGTGGAGAAAAAGGGACCACTAGATACCCACATAGTAAAAAATTAAACTAAATAGAGATCTTGAATCCTTCAAAAAATTAACTCAAAATGGATCACAGACCTAAAGGTACAAAACTCCTAAGAGATATCAGAATAAGCTAGATGACCTTACATTACATGATGAATTTTTAGACTGCAAAAGCAAGACCTATGAAAGAAAAAAATGGGGCTAGAGATGGCTCAGCAGTTAAGAGCACTGACTGCTCTTCCAAGGGACCCTAGTTCAAATCCCAGCACATATATGGTGACTTACAACCATATGTAAGTTCAATTCCAGGGGATCCCTCTTCTATACTCTGCAGGTATCAGGCATGCATATGAGACACAAACATATATGCATGCAAAACAGCCATACACAAAAAATTTAAATATTTTAAAAGAAAAAAAGATGAATTGAGCTTCAATAAAATTACAGCTCTGCTCTGCAAAAGGCACTTAGTATGGTTAATTTGCTTGTCTACTTGATTGGATCTGCGATCCAGTAAGAGTGTTCTGTGGTCATGTCTGTGACAGTATTTCATGGAAGGATTAACGGAATAGAGGAAGACCATCTTCCAAAGTGGTGACCCAGATATAAAGAGGTCTGAGGGAAAAAGCAGTGTTGCGTTTTGTCTGATTACCTTCACTACCTGCTGGTGAACACAAATATTCTGTTGCTGTTGTGCCTGCCATCCTTTGGTGACATTAGAACCCAGGTTCTTGGCCTTCAACATGGACTGAAGACCAGAAACTCTCCGGAAATTCTTCACTGCTCTATTGAGACTGCATCTAGCCTCATTGACTGAGCAGCTACTAGGTTCCCAGCCTCTCAGATGTGAACCTGAGTCACATACATTCCCTTTTAACATATACTCACCCGAATGGTTCTGTTCCTTTACAGAACCTTTACTAATATACAGTGACCTACCATCATCATCCTCTCATTTTCTACTTCATTGAGCAATTCAGCAAATTCCTTGAATGATTCCGCTGGTAAGAGAGAATAAAAATAAAGCAAATTAGTAATGAAGGAGGCAAAGATTTATGCAGCTTGAAGTAGGGACCAGTGCCTTAATCTCACAGAGGCAGTAGAGAATGACATCAACGCTAAGGTGAGCAGGAAGACAGGCTAAGTACCTACTGATTATTTCTCTTCTTTTCCTTTCCTTTTCTGCTCATCCCCAACGAGAGAATTATTTCACAATTAATATCGTATTTAATTTTCTTAGTCACAGATAAGCAAGAAACTAATTTACAAATTTGAAAAAAAACATCAGATAAGGTGTGAGATAATAAGGCTTTTAGTTTAATAAACAATATGGAGAAAGAGAAGAAACAAAAATTTTATAGAGAAGTAGGCCGGGATTGGAAGTCTTGTTCCATCACTTTCTTCCTGAGTGACTTTGTGTAAATGACTTGACCCTCAGCTTCAGCTGCCTTACCTATTAACAGGCATAATCACATCTACTTTAGTGTGTAGCGCTCTATAAGAATAAAGTTATGTTGCAAATGTGGAGTATGCATACAAAGTAGATAATACTAACATCTCTCCCCTTCTAAAGCCAATTCTGCCACTTATTGGCAGTGTGACAGCCATTCAGTTCTCCGCCCTGGATTTCAATTTCTTCATACACACAAGATAAATTAAATAGCTTTTATTGTGTCTTCAAATTCCCCAACTTCCCACCACAAGCATCAAGTACATTCTCTGAATATATGAAAGCTTGGGCAAACAAATTTGTCCATATACTTAGTTAGTTAGCTATTTAGTTTCTCACTATGTTGATGGGACTGGCTCACTAAGGCTCCTGAGTGCCAGGATTACACACAGGACTGCACTACCATATCCACCCCCTAAATTGGTGCTTTTTAAGGAAAAAGACTTCTAATAGATTCCCTCCATAATCTATTGACTATTTCAGAATATGCTATTTAATTTCCACAAAGTTGTAAATTTCAAAACTTGCTGTTATTAGTAACCTATTGTGGTCAGGAAATGTTATTTTTTTTAATTATTTGCATTTATTGAAGCCTATTTTCTGATTTAACATATGGTCACTTGAAGAATATTCTACATATGCTTGAAAAGAATAGCCTTTACACTTCTTGGGTAGAGGACAAAAGAGGGCATCGGATCCCCTGGAATTGGAATTATAGACAATTGTAAGCCACCATATGGGCAATGGTAAAGGAACCCAGGTCCTCTGGAAGAACAATAAGTGCTCTTAATCACTGAGCCATCTGCCAAGCCCTAAGTTCACTTTTCTTAACTGTCTACCATTCCCATATTCCTCTATTCAATGTTATTTAACAAAAATGAACAGACAAGTAACAAAGGTCATTTTTAATCTATAATATGCTAACTGATCCAAGACTTCAAATAGATGCCTTCAATTATTTTCCTTTCTTTTCTTCAGTGCCCTTACCCTTCGATTCATTGATCCTTGGTACTCACTGTACAAATCTGACACTGAGCCACTGTGGTGAATTTTATTTACTCTACATTTTCTTTTAAAATCCCAACTGCAGTTTCCCCTCCCTCTTCTCCTCCCATTCCTTCCCCACAATCTCCCCTGTGCTCCTTACCCCCATCCACTCCTCCTCCATTTCAGTTCAGAAAGGGGCAGGCCTCCCATGGGTGTCAACAAAACATGGCATACCAAGTTGCAATAGGACTAAGTTCCTCCCCTTGTATTAAGGCTGGGCAAGGTGATTCGGTGTAAGGAGTAAGTTCCCAATAAAATACAGATTTTTAGCTGTTTCCTTCTAAAATATTTTAAGTCTTTATATTTTCTCTATTTTGTGAGAAATTGTTCTCATCCATTCCTGTAGCTTTTTTGACACAGATTCCTTAAATTGAATATATTTTAAATAGCTAAGTAAAAGTATTTGTCAAAGAAATCAATTATCTGAGATCCCCAGAAACAGTTTCTATTAATTTTTTTTACTTTTGTTAGTGGACTGCTTTTTTGCAATTTCATCCCAGGTGTCATTTTTAATGAATATTTTAAGTAATACAATGTGGCAATTATAAAAAATCAGATCCCCTTCCTTTCCTAGCTTTGCTGCTCTTGTCATGCTATTTATTTAACGACTTCATAAAGACTATACTATGTCCAGGAAATAACATGAATCCTCTCTTTCCTTTTCAATAGTAGGGATTAAATGTAGAGCCTCGTGCATGCTAGAAATGATCTACTTCAGTTGAGCTATATCCCCAAACCATTTCTGGCTTTAACAAAAATATGGGCGACATTAAGCAAGCCAGGCTGACTTTGTATTCACTTTATAGCCCAGACAAGCCTTGAACATGTGATGTGCCTATGACTCCAAGCAACTTCAACCAGGCCTGCACCACCAGGTCCAGGTAAGAGATTCCTTTAAACCATTTAAACCAATAAGTCTCTGTGTCTGTGCTGGCTAGTCTTATGTCAGCTTGACACAGAAACTAGAGTTATCTGAAAGGAGGTAACCTCAGTTGAAAAAAATGCCCCCATAAGATCCTGCTGTAAAGCATTTTCTTTATTAGTGATTGATGTGGGATGGCCCAGAACACTGTGGGTGGTGCCACCCCTGGGCTGGTTGTCCTGGGGTCAATAAGAAAGCAGGCTGAGCAAGCCATGGGGAGCAAGCCAGTAAGCAGCACTCCTCCATGGCCTCTGCATCAGCTCCTGCCTCCAGGTTCCTGCCACGTTTGGGTTCCTGTCCTGACTTTCTTCAGTGATGAACAGCAATGTGGACGTGTAAGCTGAATAAACCCTTTCCTCTTCATCTTGCTTTTTGGTCATGGTGCTTCACTACAGCAATAGAAACCCTAAGAAAAGTTGGTACCAGGAACTTGGGTATTGCTGTGATTTGCCTGACCATGTTTTTGTTTGGAGGAATATGAAACAATTTGGAACTTTGTGCTAGAAAAACAACTGGACACTAAGCAGAGTTTAATGGGACATACTAGTAAGAGCATAGAAGACAGTGATGCTGAGGGTGATTTGAACTGTGGTCCAGAAGACATTTCAGAAAAGAATAATATTAGTATGTGGCCTAGACATCATTCTTGTGATAGTTTGGCAAAGAGTGTGACTACTTTCTGCCCTTGTCCAGAAGAATCTGTCTGAGGATAAATTAAAGAGTTATGGATTAACAGCTTTGACAGAGGAGATTTCCAGACAGCCTAGTATTGACTGTGTTGATTGGTTATTAGTGGTCATGCTTATGAAGATCTATAATGAAAAGGAAAAAGCTAAGAAAGGAAAAATACAAAATGTACAGTTTGAGGATAAAGGGGGCACCAGGACATGTAAACAGATTAAATAAAAACCTGATGCTATCAGGGAAATGCAAATCAAAACAACTCTGAGATACCAACTTACGCCTGTCAGAATGGCTAAGATCAAAAACACTGAAGACACCTTATGCTGGAGAGGATGTGGAGCTAGGGGAACTCTCCTCCACTGCTGGTGGGAATGCAAGCTTGTACAACCACTTTGGAAATCAATATGGCGCTTTCTTAGAAAATTGGGAATCCATCTCCCCCAAGATCCAGCTATACCACTCTTGGGCATATACCCAAGGAATGCTCAACCACACCATAAGAGCACTTGTTCAGCTATGTTCATATCAGCATTGTTTGTAATAGCCAGAACATGGAAACAACCTAGATGCCCTTCAACTGAAGAATGGATAAACAAAATGTGGTACATATACACAATGGAATACTACTCAGCAGAGAAAAACAATGACATCATGAGGTTTGCAGACAAATGGATGGATCTAGAAAAAAATCATCCTGAGTGAGGTAACCCAGACTCAGAAAGACAAACATGGTATGTACTCATTCATAGCAGGATACTAGATGTGGAACAAGGATGACTTGTCTGCTACTCACATCACCAGGGAGGCTACCTGGAAAACAAGACCCCAAGAAAGACACGGGGATCGCCCAATGACAGAGAAATGGAATGAGATCTACATGAACAGCCTGGACATGAGTGGGGGTAGTGAAAGGTGAGGGTCGAGGGAAAGAGAGCTTGGGAGAGGGGGAGATCCCAGCTGGATCAACAACAGAGAGGGAGAACAAGGAATAGGAGACCATGGTAAATGAAGACCACATGAGAATAGGAAGAAGCAAAGTGCTAGAGAGGCCCACAGAAATCCACAAAGATACCCACACAACAGACTCTGGCAATGGTCGAGAGACAGCCTGAACTGACCTACTCTGGTGATGGGATGGCCAAACACCCTAATTGTCGTGCTAGAAACCTCATCCAACTACTGAGGGATCTGGATGCAGAGATCCATGACTAGGCCCTGGGTGGATCTCTGGGAGTCCAATTAGTGAGAATGAGGAGGGTTTATATGAGCGAGAATTGTTGAGACCAAGGTTGGATAAAGCACAGGGACAAATAGCCAAATGAATGGAAACACATGAACTATGAACCAATGGCTGAGGGGTCACCAACTGGATCAGGCCCTCTGAGTGGGTAAGACAGTTGATTGGCCTGATCTGCTTGGGAGGCATCCAGGCAGTGGGACCGGGTCCTGTGCTCATTGCATGAGTTGACTGTTTGAAACCTGGGGTCTATGCAGGATTGCTTGGCTCGGCCTGGGAGGAGGGGACTGGACCTACCTGGACTGAGTCTACCAGGTTTATCTCAGTCTGTGGGGAAGGCTTTGCCCTGGAGGAGATGGGAATGGGGGGGGGGGGGGCTGGGAGGAAGGTGAGGGGGGTGGGAGGGGGGAGAACAAGGAAATCCGTGGCTGATATGTAGAACTGAATTGTATTGCAAAATTAAAAAAAAAAAAAACCTGATGCTAAATGGAATAAAGGGAGTGGTGACCTCAGAGCAGGACTCCACCCAGCTAAGCTTCCAATTTGTGAAAAGGAAGTAAAGAACAGCTTAGGACCAGGAGTGATGGTGCACACTTCTAATCCCAGCACCTGGAAGACAGAAGCTGAGAGATTTCTGAGTTCAAGGTCAGCCTGGTCTATA